AATGTCCTGAGACAAACGGGTACAGTGAAAGAACACTGAATTTGGGGACTTGAGGTTTAGTTTTCTCTCTGGCTAGGACTTGAGGTCTGTCTTGAAACAAAGTCACTTAACTTCATTGGGTTTCAAGTTTCTCATCTTAAAATTAAGGAGATAATATCATTTGGCTTATCAAGAAAGCTGCTCTAATAGATACTACTTATTAAACGCTTACTATGTGCCAGTCACTGTACAAAGTACTTGGTGTACACAATCTCATTTATTCTTCAAATAACCATATTGATACTCATTATGCTACTATTTCCCCCATTGTACTGATAAGGAAATTAAAGGTGGAGAGGTTAAGTAACATTTCCAAGGTATGTAAATAACTCATGAAGCTGGTGGTTGGATCTAAGCTAAATCCAGAGCTTCCATGCCAAAATCCACTGTCCTTTCACAAAAAAAAAAAAAAATTAAGAATGTACTTTGAAAAGCATTAAGCTACCTAATTTTAAGGTAGTCTTCCTTTCTTCTACTTCCACCCACTTAATCTTCTAAGACGTGAACAGGTCTACTCTTTTTGCTTACTTCTTTCTATTGTCCAATAATCAGTCCAAAATGTCCAGGTGAGAATCTGGAGGAAGCAAATTCATGCCTTCCTGGCTGGCTTTCACAATAGATAGAGAGGTTCTGGGTGGGCTCAATAAGACCATGCTTCACATGTCTCAAACTTTCTAAAAGTATCTTCTTCCTTCCCCTCAGTCTTTTGGTGGCTTGCCTTTCCTAAGAAGTCCAGAGGCCCACTTTCAGCCAAATCTGAACGTTGGAAGCTTTTCTCCTGAGAAGAAAAATGAGTGAGAATCCAGTCCCTTGAAGACCCAGTTAACTCACCTTATAAAGCAGGAAGGACTCCATGAAACACATGAACAATTTCTCTCCCCAGAACCTTTGCCAGACTTGGCACAGGCTGGTCCATTAGAAATACATAATTGAATATTCTTAACAACTCAATTCTTCAACTTCACTTTGATCAATAGTTCATTACCTAAGTTAAATCTGCCAAAGGGGCAAACTCTTCAGCCCATTTGTCCCATATTTGCATGAATATTATGCTGTGAACGTTACGCTCCTTTGAACTTCAAAAGAGCTTCCTGGCCTCATTGACTACAACTTTAACAACAGAGCATAATAGAGTTATACAGAAAGGCCTTTTCCCAGCTAAAGACCTCAAACCTTGCTGATGCTGGACAGTAACAAACCTTTATATAAGCAACAAATGGCTCTTTCATTCATTGCAATGCACTATCAGTATTTTCTGGTTTCCTGAGCTTGTCTTCCCTCTTGCGAGGGCAACTGTAACTATGACAAATTAGGTACCGGCAAGTGGCAGTACCCACCTTCACCACTCCTTTTTAAGAGCTTTCCACAAATAAAGCATTTTTCCAGACCTCTTCAGATTTCTACATGAATGGAGTGAACATCTTTGACCATAACAGCATCCCTCCTCATTCCATCCTGATGTTTCAAATAAGAGAGCAAATAAGCTACAAAGCACTCTCCTTGACCTAGAAACTTATATTCTAACCAGTCCCTGAAAGATCCAAAACTTTGGTTTCCTTTGATAAAAAGGTGTCAGGTAGCAAGGAGAGATGTGAAGGTTTATTACCCTCAGGCTTACATGTTTCCTAATGTTTTCCCAGGTTTTTTTCTTATTAAAAACAAACAAACCTTTTATTGCCACTTCTGCTCTTATACCTACCCATTTCTAGAACTGGACAGCAATAATATGGATAATGAGATGTCCTTTTACTTTAAAGAACTTTTCCCCTTTTGTAAAAGTAATACTTGCCAATTGTGGAAACTTTGGGATAGACAGTAGCACAAAGGTGAATAAAAATAACATTCATAAATCTACCATCCAAAGATTTTTTAAAAATTAGTTTCCTATTGCATACCATACATGAATATGAATGTCAGATAGAGAACTATGGGTAAAACTTAAATTATGGTATCAATAGAAAAAAAATAGAAGAATATGGGGTATACAAGACCTTCCTAGAAATAAGAAGAAATCCAGAAGCTATAAAAGAAATAAATGAGAGATCTGACTTCATAAAATTTTAAAACTTCTATATGGGAAAATATAAACCAAACATTGTTTAAAACAAATGGCAGACAGAAAATAATATTTGAAACACAAAAGGTTAATAAACTTTTACAAATCAATATAAGTAACCCAACTAAAAAACACACAGCTAGCTAACGAAATAAAGTCAAGCAAAAAAGTAATTGAAAGATGTTCCAATAATAGAAAAATATCAAAGCAAAACTGAATGATTTCCCCTATTAAACTGGCCCTAGAACACAAAGATTAATAATAAGCTTGGTGAAGGAATTAGAAATGAACACTCATATATAGAGGGTGCCAAAAAAGTATACATATTTTAAGAAAGGAAAAATGTACTAAAATTGTAATACTCAATATATACTGATAACAAAAGATGAATAAAAGTTACATTTTACTTATTTAGTTACAAGAGGTGCTCAAAGTGTTTGCCATCAGTGTCCAGACACTTCTGATTACAGTGAACTAAAAGTAATACTATAGATTGACATTTCCACCGTTTCTAATTTCTCACTGTTACAGCTGCAATAAATCTCTATGCATACATGTGTATATCCAGGCAACATACATAGGACATACGCTTTGAGGTGTCCTTTTTACTGGAGATGATTTTGCACGTCTTCCAGACAGCTTGGGCGTGGCCACACAGAATGATGCTCAGTGGCTCATTAAGGGAATGACCATGACCTTAGCTTCATCATCTGACAATAAGCTTGAAACACCGAGCCAGAACTGGTGCCCTAGGCCATCTGTTACATAATCACTTTGGCACCAACTGAATATTGAAAGGGCTTGGGACAAATTCATAGGCACAAGGAAATGTTAGAAAGTAGTAGTTTCTAGTCTGTATTTTTTTTCAGTTATATCTTTCTTTGGTTTGCCAACCAATCTCTAAGGTTTTTTTTGTTTTTTTTTGTTTTTTTGAGTTCGAGTCTCACTCTGTCGCCCAGACTGGAGTGCAATGGCACACGCTCCCGGCCACCGCAGCCTTGACCTGCTGGACTCCGGCGATCCTTCCACCTCAGCCTTCGAAGTAGCTGGAACTACAGGCACACGCTACCACGCCCGGCTAATTTTTTATTTATTTATTGTAGAGACGAGGTCTTGCCAAGTTGCCTGGGTGGGTCTCGAACCTGCGGGCTCAGGCAATCCACTTGCCTCGGCCTCCCAAAGTGTTGGGATTACAGGCTGAGTCACCAAGCCCAACCCAATCTCTAAGTTTCATGGAAAATATTCTTCAATTCCTCATAAATATGGAAGGCTTTCCAGAAGAGATGGGCTTCTGAGAGTTACAAGCTTTTCCCATGAGGCCATAAGCAATAGGTAGCAAGGAAAGTTTCTTTCTAAGAGAGGATAAATTATTTTTGAATAAATGTAAGGGGTATAAGTGCAGTTTTGGTACATGGATACATTGTGTAATGGTGAGATATGGACTTTTAGTGTAACCAGCACCCAAATAATGAACATTGTACTCATTAAGTAATTTCTCATCCCTAAGCCCAGATGATTGTGAACTGAGCTGAGAATGGATGGATGTTTTTTGTCAGATCCACTTAAATCAAGGAAGGCTTCTGGAAGAGGAGGGTTCTGCGATGAACTGTACTTAAGAGGAAGGAGAAGGAGGTAGTTTGAAGAATATATGAGGAGATGCTGATCCAAACTTCCTTGCTGAGATCTTGCCCTGAAAAACTTCCTTTTGTGTCCTAATTATACTAGATATCACCATAGACTGCTCATGCTTAAAAGCCTAATCAAAAGCACTCATTTCTCCTAGGAAGAAAGAGTCTAAGTTTATTATAAAATCGTTGTGGGACAGAAACACACTTAAGGATGGAATAGGCTTGGCACTGTTCTCCTTGTCAGCAAGCCTTCTGCCTGATCTATTTAACTTATGCTGATAAAGGAGATAAATGTTTAAGTGATGGGCTTCAGATGCTGCTTCAGCTCCTACTAAGAATATTTTCACAGCTCCTTCTCATGAATAAGTTCAGTGGAGCAGAGAATGTCCCTCTTGGACCAATTCCACTTTGTGCTTCTTTTGATGCAGCCCAAAAGAGGAACTAGAGCTAGGGCTTTTCCTTCCAATTTAGAGCAAGCATCTACTTCAGAGGTGGCTGCAAGTGGCTCAAAGAAGGTAAAGGCCACACTGTGCAAAGGCAGCAGAAAGCTCCTGACAAGAACAGAGATGTCGATGGTTACTCATAAATCTCCTAAATGTGGCAGCAAGGAGGGTTAATTATCTCCCCCTTCCTGCCACTCTCTGCTTTCTCCAATGTGTTAGCCCATTACACGGATCGCTGACTTTCTAGAAATATTCCCTGGCTTTACAGGGACGTTCTTTTCAATAAATGGCATCCAATTTGCTAACGGTCCCTGGAATCTCAATTTCCTCAAAGGATTTTTCATCTGAATCTAGTTCGTGTGAAGGTTTCTTCCTTCCTCATTTTTCGGCATAAGGGAATAGGCAGAGCCTGCTTTACTTTCTTTCTTTCTTTTTTCTTTTCTGTGTCATTCTTTTTCATAAACCGAAAACCTTTGCAGAAGAGTCTGAAATATGGGAAAAAATCCAGCTCATCTGTCAGATATTTCTAGAGTTACATAAAATGGAATGAGATTTGTACAGTTTAGAACAGGAAAAGGAAAATAGGCTAATGTGTCATGTATTCTATGAGATGAAAACTATATGATAATCAGAAAAACAGCCCCAAATTTAGTTGGCCCGATTCAAAGCTCTCATTCTTTTATCAACTCATGCATAAACCAGTAACATTCACTTTCTTCTCTTAGAATAATGGCATGGCTACATTTGGGCTAAATCATAATCCTTATAGATTATAACCACATTTTCAAAGAAATTATAAGAAAGTGTATTATTTTTTAAATGCAAGACACTTACGTTTTACTTGCTCTGTTTTGCTTCCTTCTAGGAAAAGAAAGAACAACAAGGAAAAGATGTATTTCATGCCTCCCATTTTCCACTTTTTTCTCATTTGGGTCACTGCAAAAGGCAACTCAGAACCGTCAAGGCCCCGCGTATTCAAGCTGTTGGGAAAAAAGCAGAAAAAAGACTTAACAATGATCCTCTGGAACTGATAGAGATCATTCATGCTTAGGCTTCAGTCTTGCTAGCAAAAGAAAGAGAATGCTGGAGAATTTACATAAGTGCAAGTATTGTTTGCTTGCATAAGATAAAGGACTTGCCTCTCCTGTCTTACAAAGATTGTGGGAGAAAATTCAAGCAAATGACCATGCATTCCTATCCAACGCTGAGGCTAAATCCTTACAGGCAAGTCATAGGAAAATAAAAATAAATTTTGAAATCCTCCTTTCTAAGGGAATTAAAGTTGATTTCTTAAGAGATTTTCTTTGAGAGAAAAGGGAAACTGGAGTTTGCAAAATGAGTATTCTGGCAAACCAGGTACAAGTAATTAGTAAGCATGAGACTCAGACAATTTCTGAAATGAAAGTTAACTAATCTTAACTTCAAGACTACTGTTATCATTAATCCTTCAGGGATGAAGTACAAATTGATCTCAGTTTCTCCCCTGTCCTCTATGAGATCTATGGCTGCTTATGCTAGAAAAGATAGATGTAATTAGCAAATGGACGCAATTAAACACCTGAAAAGTTTTATTGCTTAGACTAGTTCAGACATATTTCTCCCCCCACAAAGTCCACTGTGAAATGGAAATTTTAAATGGACCATTTTAAAGGAAATTACAAAGTTAAATAGGTAATTTGTTCATCTTGCACTACCACTCAAAAGACCATTAAAGCAACTACAATTCTTTAAAATCTGAAATTGACATTTCTAGTCTAAGGGGTAGAAACCTTAAACCTTTTGAGACTTGGAAAGTTTGCTGTAGCTCATACACAGTCACAGGTCATTTCCACAGACTTGAGAGTTTGCAAAATTCTTCCAATGGGTGATTAGAAAATATTTAAATGTTCTAAAATACCAGATTCAATCTGGGGTTAACCCTGGATTGGGGCCTGGACTCATTGATCTTTCAGAGAATCCAACCTAAATATCAAGCATAAAGAACTCAAAAGAATGCAAGATGAACATTTTGGAGAAATGAATGTCTTTGGGCCCTGAAGTAGATGCCACAGCTCCTATTTAAATGCCATGAAGTTACCTAGATCACTCAAAATCTGTTGTTTCAAATTATGAATATGTAACAGAGGAAGATCGAATCATAGAGAATATTTTGTGCTATCAGGCAGGATTAGCAGGATGGTCTGCCTTCTTACTCTATCTCCTTCCTGCTCCTTAAAAAAGGACCAAATTCTTGGAGGACATTTTTTCAGCCCTTCCAAAGTCTTTGATGTCTCGGTCCCCACTGTGAGCCCATTTTCAATCACTCAGAACATCACTGTCCCCTGAAAGCTATCAGGTTCCCTTGGAGCAAATCATTTTCATTAACAGTTTAACACAGCTACTCACCTTAGTGAGGTTCTTCCTGAGTCTACTTTAATAAGCTTATTCCCCAAGCCTCTAAAAGAGAACAATTTTTACTACTAAAATCCAATTTATCACAATCATATATGGATCTTCAGGGGGTGTTTCTGAAACCATGGTTTTCACGTCTCCCCATGCAAGAACCAACAGGACTGTTTTTCTTGTACAATGGTTGGGTGACTCGGTGAACAGTAGCATTGCTTCATAACTCAAGCTGGCAAGAAAACGGCTCTTAGAAATTTTTGCTTTTCTTGGTTCCCAACAAATGTTATGAGCAAATAGAAAAGTTGGTGACTAGAGAGCAATTGATCTCTTTTGGCATTCCTGTCATCTGTGTGGCCTCCCAGGCTGTGATGGAGAACATCAGAAAATGAATCGCTTTATAAATATTCACTTTTGATTTACAAGATCCTGAAGTCCTGCCTTTGCATTCTGTGCAGAAATGTGAACAGAGAAGAATTCCCTCCCGAGGTCTCCCCACTGTTCAAGTTCTCTTTATCCCTTTAACTTTTTCTTTTGGGGGAAGGGGATGGTTCAAAACATTTGTTGGGACTGCAGCAGTAAACACAAGCAAGCATTGCTCAGCAAACATGCGGACTCTTATTCTTGCAAAGAGCCAAACTGTCCTTAATTTTTCAAATTATACTTTGACCCAGTTAACTGGAGTTATTTCTGCATTAACTCTCTGTCTGCTTCACACAGGCTGTTGTGCCATTGAACTTGCACTGACTCTTTTGCAGGTTACTTAGAAATGTAGCCATTGACATGTTTGGGAGGATCCAGGACCCAACAAGAAAGCCACAAAGAAAACAAAACCCTGCAACTAACACTGGGAGTGGGGGTGGGGTGGGAGGGTGAGTGGGCTTTACAAGAGAACAAGAAATGTATCAGACACCAAAAGAAAGGTATTTATTAAGGTGCCTCCAGGAAACAAGCATTCACATTGTTCCTTTGCATCAAGCAAAAGGACCAACTGCTCCTTGTCCAGCTGTAACTGCAAGGCAATCTGAACCATCAAGTGTCAGGAGTCCACTCTCAGCACAGGCCTCCTGGGTAGAACAGAAGCAAAGAGACATCCCCAAAGGAAGGATAAGAGATGAGCACATGTCAGCCAGTTCTTCACGCCCCACAGTGTCTCTTTAATTCTCTAGAGAGGCTTGACTGACCTTGTGCTCTCACATTCACTATCATCTGTGGGACAGCCCCTAGGGTAGCAGTTTTCTTTCTGACAAACAATAAGAAAGACACTGGAGTCTCAGGCCCTTGTCCATCAGCTAAAATCTTCTCTCCACTCTACCACCCAGCAAGAATGGCAGTTTGAGCCAAGAGTTTCTCTTGTCAGAAGCAATGCCTTCATTGCTGCGTATGATTGACTAGCATTGCTAACATAAGCCTTGCATTTGGCTTGCAAAACATCTTCCTATCTATCATTTCATTTTATTCCAGATAACTCCACCTTCAAACGGGCACCCCGTGGAGAGGGAGAGGACAGAGAACTCAAATGACTTGAGTTAGTGGTAAGGCCGGGAGGGACTGGAAGGCAGACTTTCCAGGCCCTACTGTCTCAAAATGTGACCCCTGTGGTCTGGGCTAGAAAATGAGGCAGATGTCCAGAGGACAGGGAGCCTCTCGTCCATCCACCGTTTCGTTAACTTTAGCACGTTATCAATCAAACACTGACTGGTCCAGAGCACTTCAGCAAATGAGAACACAGGCTCAGGGACACATGCGGTAATTAAGGGGACTGCAGAGCCCCGAGGTAGCTCAGCGTGGCGTACCCAAGTGACTTCTCATAAGCGCCAGAGTATGAAGAAATGCAGGCCAAGCAGAAAGTGGCGAGTTGTGAGTTCGAATCTAGAGCCCCCAACCAGCTTCGGGCGCCTTAGGCCCCACCTCCATTCCGGCTGCTGGCAGTTGGATCGTAAAACGGGTTGGGGTGGCAGATCGGGGAATTCGGGGCGCTCTGAAGGAACTTCCAGGGGCGGCTCCGGCCAACAGAAGGCACCCCACCTGTGCAAAGGCTGGAAAAGGAGGTGAGGGAAGCGGGCGCTGGGCACCGCTCACTGACCTGGGCACCGGCCTCCTCCGTCTGCCACGCGTGCACGCACTCCGAGTTCCCCGGGGCGCTCCTCCGAGGTCTGGGGCTCGCAGGTTGTGGCGAGAGCTAGAGTGCGCGCGAGGGGGGAGGGGGGACTCAAAAGTGGGTGGGAGGAAAAACATCACCGCCCTCACACCACGAGGGAGCAGCGGCTCGCTTGGCTCCCGGGGGCAGAGCCAAGGCGCGGGCGCGGCGGCCCGGGGCCACCTGCCTGCCCGTCCGCCCGCCCGCTCCCCAGTTGGCCCGAAAGGCCGGCCGCCCGGCGCAGGCGGGAAGTCCGCGAGCACGCAGCGACTGCACGCACGCACCCCCTCTCCGCCCCGGCACAGTGGCTTTATTCCTTCTCCTCCGACCCGAAAGTTTAAAAATCGGGAGAAAGTGTGAGGCTCAGCCGGCTACTTTCCCACCACGCAGCGCCCCCACGGCACCCCCCTCCTTCGGCTAGGCGAGCGTTGGGGTCTTAAAGGGACCGCACGTCTCCTCCGGCCCCTCCTCCCTCTCTGCACTGGATGCACCTAGGAGCTCCCCACCACTGGTGCGAGCCCGGAACACCCCGGCTACCCTCCGACTCCCCTGCCCGGAAGCCCGCACCCCCTTTCCTCCCGCACCCCAGCCTCTCCGGGGGGTGCACCTGGTCTGGTCCTGAGCTGGTTCCCGGGACGCATATAGCCGGCCTTGAAAATTACACTCTAGCACGCTGCTTATCATTTCGGGGCAAGCGCCAGATCCACAATGGGGCTAGTAACGTGACAAAGCTTTAGTGTATTTAAAGGCAAGGTGGAGATGAGTGTGTGTGTGTGTGTGTGTGTGTGTGTGTGTGTGTGTGTGTGTGTGTGTGTGTGGTGGGGGAAGGTAGAAATCTGCATCATCCTACAAAGAGGGCTCTGAAGCCCCATGAAAAGGGCCTCTACTAACTGTTAAGTGTCTTGAAAACTCCGAGTGACCCACCATAGCCACTAATGTTTTAGCAAGTCCATAAGATTGTAAGTTGGGCCAAGAGCTCAACCTTGAAATCATAATAGAACTGCTGATGCCTTGGTGAGCCTGAGACTCTACCCCAAATTTGTGTTTATTCCACGAGCGATAGTTACAGGGGATTATCAGAATCTTCTAAGTTCCATGAAAGTACTGCCTTGACAGTACTCTAAGCCTCTAAATTTGGAAGAGAACTACAGGGCTTTTTTTCTACATGAATTAGAGAATATCGATATTTCGAGCAAATGTATAGCACTTTATGGCTTACATTAATCTACTCTCACAACAAACTGATATGTGGCCTCAAGTGCCAGAATTGGTAGGGACCCTCTGAACCATTCGGTTTAACTTCTTTATTTAACATAAGAGGAAACTGAGACTGAGGGAGGTGTATCCCAAGGTCACACAGTTGGTAAATGACAAATTTGAGATTCCAATTCAGATTTCCTGACTTTCAACCCACTACT